ACCTGCAGGGCAGAGGGGCACAATCCCCCAGCCCAGCTGCAGTTCTGGGGCACCAGGGCTGAGTCTGGCCGTGCCCAGCACCCTCGAGAGCTCCTTCCCAGGGCTGCTGGGCACCAGCCTGCTGGTGCTGTGGGCTGGCATTCCCTGGCCCAGGGGCAGGGCTTTGTGCTTGGCCTTGCTGAACTTCAGCAGGTGCCCAGAGCCCTCCAGCCTGCCCAGGGCCCTCTGGGTGCCCCATCCCTCCCTCTGCAGTGCCCAGGGCCCTCTGGGTGCCCCATCCCTCCCTCTGCAGTGTGCTCAGCTCAGGCTCTCTGTCAGTGCCACTGGCCGTGCCTCTGGGACACCGCACTGTGCCCGTCCCAGCCCCAGTCCCTGAGGGTGCCACTCCTCACTGGGCTCCCCTGGGACAGAGCCTTGGTCACGCCTTTGTGTGTGACCCAGCCAATTCCGTATCCACTGAGTGCTCCGTCCATCAAATCCCTCTCTTCTAACACTATTTATTGGTTAACTGTGGTGGTGTTAAAAGACTTTGAACAGCTGGCTCCGAGTCATTACTATTAGCATCTTTAAAAATAGAATTGGCAGTATTTACAGAAACACTAATGATAGGAAAATACGTGAAATTTCCCTCTTATGTAATGTTTATTGAAAGAATTATGTGTTCTGTTAGAGGGACTTTTAAAAATAAACATAGGCTTTTCTCAGTAGGCTTTCTTCTTGATGAAGAAGGAATGTGAATTTTGAGAATCACAGTAATATTCCTTTCATCATCTTAAGCAAGTTGCAATTACAGCCATTATATCCAGGACAGGGCTTTTTAAGGAATTTAATATCATGTTATCTTGCCCGCCTTGTTTCTATGCCCAAATTAGGAGTTTCTCACAGTATTTGCCTCCTTTGCAGTTTTGTGATAATTGGTGGTATTTTTGTTTAGAAATCGCTTCATCAGCTCGCTGAGACCAGATAACCATGAAGAACATAATGCTGCTCCAGGCAGTTCTATTTCTATTTACACTGGTTTTATTCAGGATAACTTCACTGATCAGGGAACCTGATCCTGATTTACAGCAGCGAAAGGAGAAAATTGTAATCATTTTGTGCCACCAGAAACAGAAACACGACAGAATGAGAACTGTAATAGCTCCCAGTAGGGTACAGCATAACAAGGAAAACTCCAGGATCCGTGCTGCTTAATTGTAATGTGAGATTAACAGTATAAGTTTAAATATTATCTTCAGTTTCCCTCATCCTAATTTTGACATGATATAAAATATGCAGCTCACAATGCTTGGGAATGAGAACAATCAGTCATTCCTCAAAGAAGACTCATTCACTTGCAGAACTGAGGCATTTGAGAAAAGTGGGATGAAATAATAACTGATACAAATACTTTGATTAAAATAATAATCCAGGAATTTAATAAAGCATTTATTTGGCTTGATCACATCTCCCAGTTAAATGACTGACTGCACATTGACTTTGCCCATGGAATGTCAGTGGATTTTGATGCTGGCTCTGACTGGACAGCGAGCGAGTTTGGCTCAGCATGTGCAATTCTGTAAGGCTGGAGTGATTGCATGGCTGGCGAAGTTGAAGAAAATCCGTGTCTCTTCGAGTGTGTGGGGAAAGAGTGAGCTCACAAAAGTGAGGGTGGATGGGAAAAGACAAACTCTGCCAGAGGAGCGAGTGGTGGCTGTGCCCTTGGCAGGCCCTGCTCTCAGGTGGAGCCCTGCGGTGCCAGCTGCCCTGCCCAGGGCTGCCCCAGCTCCGACTGCGGCCGTGGCCGTGCTCTGCTGGCCAGTGGCCGTGCTCTGCTGGCCAGTGGGCACGCTCTGCTGGCCAGTGACCGTGTTCTGCTGGCCAGTGACCACGCTCTGCTGGCCAGTGACCGTGTTCTGCTGGCCAGTGCCACGCTCTGCTGGCCAGTGGCCGTGCTCTGCTGGCCAGTGACCACGCTCTGCTGGCCAGTGCCATGCTCTGCTGGCCAGTGGTCACTCTCTGCTGGCCAGTGACTGTGCTCTGCTGGACAGTGACTGTGCTCTGCTGGGCAGTGGGTACTCTGCTCTGCTGGTCAGTGATCACGCTCTGCTGGCCAGTGGCCGTGCTCTGCTGGCCAGTGACTGTGCTCTGCTGGCCAGTGACTGTGCTCTGCTGGCCAGTGACTGTGCTCTGCTGGCCAGTGACCACTCTCTGCTGGCCAGTGGGCACTCTCTGCTGGTCAGTGGTCACTCTCTGCTAGTCAGTGGTCACTCTCTGCTGGTCAGTGACTCTGCTCTGCTGGCCAGTGGGCACTCTCTGCTGGCCAGTGGGCACTCTCTGCTGGCCAGTGCCACTCTCTGCTGCTCAGTGGTCACTCTCTGCTGGCCAGTGATGGTCCAGCCCCGGGAGCTCGGGCCCGGAGCCGTGCCGGGCTGCTCCGGCCGCTCCCTGCACACCGGGCACACAGCAGGTGTGCTGGGCTGGGGCACTGCCCGCTGCCACCACAGCAGCTCTGCTTTCCCAAGGTTTTCTCCTGCTTTCCTAAGGTTTTCTCCTGCTTTCCATAAGGTTTTCTCCTGCTTCCCCGAGGAGGAACAGAACCCTCTTGCAGCTTATTTGTCTTTTGTGATCTAAGCAAACCACCCAATCTGCTGAGTGCTCACAGCTGCCAGGACTGCCAGACATGCACAGAGTATCCCCAGGACTTCCACTAGTAAAATGCCTGATTGTCTCTTCATAAAATGTAAACCACTAAACGAGACGGGAAAACAAAGAGGCAAAACTGAAAGAAAGGCGCAATGAACTCTCAGTGGTTTCAAGGACAGCCTGTTCCCAGTGACCCCTTTGGCCACCCAAATTGCATGTTTGCCCCTTGGAGGTGCAGTCACAGCTACAGCCAAAGATGTTTGAGGAATAAATTACTGTGAAAGTCAGCTTTTATTTAAACTCCCTCATTTCAAGCACAAAGTGGCTCTCTGTTTCCCTGGAGACCGGGATATGTAAGAAGGCAGAATTTTCTCTCCATTTCCCTTTCCTACACTGGACCACTGTAGAGCAGGGTTTGGGTTTTCCTTTTTCCCTCCCACAGAACTGGCATCAGTTATGACTGCTCAATTTCCTCAGGTGACTGGAGCTGTGCCACTGAGGTGGGTGACCTGTGCTGAGACTCCCGACATGCAGGTGAAACCCGCCTCTGGCATGAGGACAAACACATCCTTATGTCCCAATCCTATCTTGGAAATTTATTGGGAAAAGACTGACTCTGTGCTCTGGATTTAATTGTCCAAGTATTAGTGGAGAATGAGAAAGAAATGACAACTGACTGAAGCTGTTAGATGGCATCTTTCATACTTTTCCCACAGAATGTAAAGGCAGGAGAAAGGAAGGAGGAAAGCTGATAGCTCAGATATTCACAGTGTATTTAAACACAAACCTATACCTAAACAAAGCTAAAATTACTGCCTTGTGTAGAAGTGTTCTATCTTTTTATTTAGAGCAAATTCTTTCTGATTTTTCAAAGAAATACTCTTTGAGAACTATTCTTTACCTTCGGAAAACTGTTCTTAAATGATACCTTTCCATTGTAATCCTTTTACAACTTCCAGGCTCCTTGAAATAATGATTGCCTCCTCACACACGTTCTGTGAGGAGCACAATAACTGATGTATCCATTTCAAAACATGCTGGGAAAGAAAACAGCATCAATTTTGAATGAAAACTTGAGAAACAGCATCTCAGGAGCCACGGAAATCCTGCTGGCGTGACAGCTGTGGTCTACTGGCTCAAGGGCTGTCCCTTGCCGTGAGGTTTGGGACGTGGTCTGCTGGCACAGAGCTATTTCTGAGATGCTTTTCATCAGCCATTCCAAGGGACATTCCGGTCCGGCAGGCCAGGGAACTCCAGCCACGAACACGCTGTGGCTCAGCAGGCTCAGGTGCTTTAGCAAACCGAGTCTGGGCAGGCGCTGCTCAGCGCAGGCCGGGGCTGAGCGGGCCGGGAGCAGCCCTGGAGAAGGGGCTGAGAGCTGCCCATGGCCCAGCTCGGGAGCCGGACCCTGTGCTGGGCTGGTCCCAGCCTGGCAGCAGGGCACGGGGGATTCTGCCCCGCTCAGGTGAGCCCCACCTGCAGAGCTGCCCCAGCCCCGGGCCCGCCAGCACACCGGCTTTTCGGAGCAAGTCCAGAGGAGGCCGTGGAGATGGTCTGGGGGACGGAGCGCCTGTCCCATGAGGAAAGGCTGAGGGAGCGGGGACTGGCCAGCACGGAAAATAAAAAGCTTTGTGGAGACCTAATCGCGGCGTGCCAGCGCCTGGAGGGGGCGTACGAAAAGGATGGCGAGAGACTGTTTACAAGTGAGGACAAGGGGGAATGGCTGCGAGCGAGCCGCGGTAAGGGCAGTGAGCCCAGGGAGCGAGGCAAGATGAGCGCTGTGCGCTGGCACGGACACCGCCGAGCGGGGAAAGGCTGCAGGCACCGCAGCTCCTCCCGAGCGGTCTCTGCCAGCGAGACTCAAAGAACGGCGCCGGGGACACGGGGCCGGGCGGGGCTCGGCTCGGGAGCCGCGGGGGCGGGCACCGGCCCTGCCCCGGCCCGGAGCGCCGCCCTCGGCACCGGCCCTGCCCCGGCCCCGGCCCGGAGCGCCGCCCTCGGCACGGCCGCGGCCGCAGCCCCGCGCCCGGGGGATGCGGGCGGAGCCGGGAGGTGCCTCCGGCCCGCCCCGCTCCCGGTCCCGGCCCCTCTCCGCCCGCATCCCCCGGCCCCTCTGCCCGGCCCCGCTCCGCCCGCATCCCCCGGCCCCTCTGCCCCGCTCTGCTCCGCCCGCATCCCCCGGCCCCGCTCCGCCCGCATCCCCCGGCCCCTGTGCCCGGCCCCGGTCCCGCTCCGCCCCGCCGCCCGCATCCCCCGGCCCGCCCCCGGCTCCGGGCCCCGCCCGCCTCCCCCGGCCCGCCGGGCTCGGTCCCCGCCCCGCCGCGGGCAGCGGGCGGGAGGCGGCGGCGCCGGGCGCTGCCATGCGGGCGGGCGGCGGCGGGGCGCGGGGCGGCTGAGCGCGGCCGGCCGCGGGAGCCGGCGGGGAGAGGCCGCGGGGCATGCCAGCCGCCCGCCCCGATGTTTCCCTGGAGCAAGTGGAAGAAGAGGATGGGAGCGAGCGCCTCCTCCTCCAAGAGACCCGTCTTCGACGAGCGGGAGGACGGTGAGTGCGGACCGAGATGCTCCGGGGTGCCCGCCCTGCCCGGGATGCTGTGCCCTGCCCTGCCCAGCCCGGATGTCCAGCTCCTGCCCGGGATGCTGTGCCCTGCCCTGCCCAGCCCGGATGTCCAGCTCCGGGGCACTCTGCCCTGCCCTGCCCCGGCGGTGCCCAGCCCGGGGTGCCCAGCCCGGGGTGCCCAGCCCGGGGTGCCCAGCCCGGGACACCGAGCTGCCCCGCCCGGCACTGGGGTCCCCCGCGGGGCCGTGCCCGGCTGCGGGGGTCCGGCCGGGCGCTGCCTCCCCGCAGGACGCAGGGACTCTGCCCACGGGCACCCCACGGGCACGGGACACGGGCGGCCGCCGTTAAAGCGGGGTGGGAAGGGGGGGCGAGGGGACAGCTCAGCACCAAGTTTCGGTTGGTGCACGGACAGCCCCGCTTGGACCGAGGAAGGGCCGAGTGCCGCCGGCATCATGCCCGAGCACTGCTGCCAGCGCAGAAAGCTGCTCTGGGGCTTTTCCCAAAATACGAGCTGGGGTGGTTGTTTAGGAATCCGCCGTGAAATCCCATCGCTGCGTTAGAAATCTCGGGTGCAGGGGGACATTTCAGAGGAGCAGAGGAAGGAAACTTTGACTGTGGGTGGGGAAGAGACCATCGGGCCAGCAGGCGAGTGCCGGTGCCGGGGCACTCCCGGACGCTGCGTTGGCCCCGTGGCACTCACCGGGCACACGCGAAAATCCCGGTGTGTGGGTGCTGAACTGTGCACTGCATCAGCCTGGAGGGAGATGTGCGAGTCTGAGTCTGAGGGCAGTGGTGTGAGGGTCGGGGTCTGCTGGAATCCCTCGCTGAGGGGAACCACAGCTGTCTGTGCTGCTCTGGCAGCTGATGGGTTAAATCGGGCAAACTTTTCCTGGCACAAGAGCTGGTTATTTCTCCAACACGCTTTTATTAGAATTCACACTGAGCAAGCCGAGTAAAGACACTTAAATCGGAGGCTTCACTGCAGTTACATTCTGAAAACAAAATTTTTTTCTGAGAGGCTTTTGATTGTACCCTGTGCAGCCAAGCAGGGTGGGTGAGCTCTGCGGCTGAGTGGCTACTGACAGGAGCCTGGGAACACCTTCCAGGCGCTTTCAGTCAGTGCTTTCACTGTGTCCCAATTATTGGCACATCGCTTCCTTGCTATCTCCTGCTTTTCCATAATTCCTTGTTAGAGTGCTCAGAGCAATTACAGCGTTGTTCCAGTGAACTCATATTTACTGTCATGGCACGGTTGCTATGGTGATCTCCTAAGACATCCCAATAACTTCCTTAGATAAAGAAACCAGCTGATACTTGGGTTTGTGTGTGACATAATGTGGAAGACTTACTAGTGACAATAATATAATGAGAAATCAATTAAAAATATAAAAAGGAAGAGATACATTTGGTATGTCAATTTTTGCCCCTACGTGGTTCCTTGTGATGGATCTCTGCACAAGGATGAGCCTGACTGCTGAAATCCAGCAGATAATCTCTGATCATTTCGTCAGGGTGTATGTAAATAGAATGTTAACATTTATTGTAGTCACTGGTAACACAACCAGTACTAAAATCATACTCCAAATCCTTGCAGACCTTACAGTCGTTGTCCCTGGCTTCCTGGGGACTGGTTTTGGGACTGCTGATCACTGGTTCCTGTCCCAGCTGAGGCAGCGCAGGGGGGATGTCCCGGGCTGAGCAGGACGTGTTGGCTCTCTCAGGGTGAAACTCCTGGCTCCAGAGGCTTCTCCACTCTTTACCTGTGCTAAGAGCTGCCATTTCTCCTTGGCCTGCACCTGTGCAGCCTCAGCTGCTGTTGGATCTCGTGTGGAGCAGTGCAGGAGCTCCTGTGTCACACCCCTCTGTCCGGGAGGGCACGGCTGCAGCTGCCTTGGGGTGTGTGGCTTGAGCTCTGAGTGGCTCCAAGGGTGAGCCTGGTGCTCCAGAGTGTGTCCTAAGGACCTTCTCTCAGCCCTCTCCACTTCTTCAGCATCTTTTCTGTCAGTGCTTGGCTGGGCTCGTTCTTTGGCAGAGATGGAAGCTGGTGCTGGTTCAGGGCCAGGGCGGTGTGGAGCTGGGCTCTGGGGAGCTGTGCCCAGGGGGCAGCTCTGCTGCTCCTTCCTTGCTTCCCTTCCTGGCTGCTGTGGTGTCCCCATCGCCGCACGCAGGAGCCTTCTCGTGGCCGTGGTGCCAGGTTCAGGTGTGTTCAGGTGTGTTCAGGTGTGTTCAGGTGTGCCTGGTGCTGCGTGTTGGGCACAGCACCGTGGCTGTGGTGCCAGGTTCAGAGTGTTCAGGTGTGTTCAGGAGTGTTCAGGTGTGTTCAGGTGTGTTCAGGTGTGTTCAGGTGTGCCCGGTGCTGCGTGTTGGGCACAGCACCGTGGCCGTGGTGCCAGGTTCAGGAGTGTTCAGGTGTGCCTGGTGCTGTGTGTTGGGCACAGCACCGTGGCTGTGGTGCCAGGTTCAGGTGTGTTCAGGTGTGTTCAGGTGTGCCCGGTGCTGCGTGTTGGGCACAGCACACCTGTCTGAGCCCTTGGGGTGCCCTGCCTGCTGCAGCGTGCACGCCGTGCTGCTCCCTGCTTGCACACACAGCCTGCCAGAGATTTCGGGGTGTCTCACAACTGGGGCTTAGCTAACAGGAAGGCTGACTGTGGAAGGACGGTGCCTGTGTGTCTGTGTGTGCTTCCAGGGAGCCCTGGCGTGTGGGAGATGGGTTTCTCTGGCTGTGGGAGCCGCTCTCCAGCTGGTGCCAGTCCCACAGAAGAGCTGGCAAGCTGCAGATCCATCAGCTGGGAGGGAGGGAACTCCAGCCTGTCCAGCTGGGGACACTGCCCAGGGATGCCTTTGGGAGAGCTCGGTTTTGGGGAGGTGCGTTGTACCCTGCTCGTTAACAGAGAAAGTTAATGAACGGAGGGAGGAGAAGAAACAAAGTGAGGGGAAAAGTATGGGAAGAAGAAAACAAGGCAAAAGAACAGAAGGGCTGCGGGTTGGAGCACTCAGAGCTGTGTGCTGGAGTAAGGTGGGCTCAGTGAGCTGGAGTGAATTGTAGCGGCCTTGTGGGTTCTGCATTGCCACCGTGGGCTGTTTTCCATCAGGAAAAACACACCCTTGTCTGCAGGGACTTTTCAGGGTTTGGTATTTATACCTGCAAGGATGTTCTATAAACTCCTCACGCGAGGAGTGGGTTTGTTCTCCACGGAAGTGTGGGCACTGCCTGTCTGCTGGCTGAGACACGTCTCTGTGCAGGGCACGGGGCACTGGGGTGTCTCACGGAATCACAGAATCCTTTGGGCAGGAAAAAGCCTCCAGGATCATGGAGTCCAAGCTGTGCTCTGAGTGCCACCTCCAGTCCTTCCTTGGGCACCTCCAGGGATGGGATCCAACCCTCCCTGGGCAGTTCCAGTCCCTGAGCCCCTTTCCATGGGGAAATTCCTGCTGTGCCCACCCTGAGCCTGCCCTGCCCAGCCTGGGGCTGTTCCCTCTGCTCCTGTCCCTGTTCCTGGAGCAGAGCCCGACCCCCCGGCTGTCCCCTCCTGGCAGGGAGCTGGAGAGCAAGAGGAGGCACAAAAGTCATGAGGCTTGTTTGTCATTTGGGCAGGAATTTTGCTGTTGTTCTGGGAACCAACCTAGCAAGTTTTATTGACATCTCCCTCCTTTTTAGAAGGAAAAAAAAAAGTATTATTTTTTATTTTAGATTTATTTTTTATACCAAGTGAGGAAAACCTGTAATTGTGAAATCAGTGGGAATGTTTCAACCCAGATCTCTGAAAACTGCTTAGCAGAGTTGGACTCGGGCACCTGGGCTGAGTGGGAGGAAACACAGGGCACACTTAGTGCTATTAGCATTGCCCACAGTTGTGTTCCATGAGAGAGGGGAAACCGCAGCAAGATTTATATCTCTATGCAATTATGTCTGAAGAGGAATTTCAAGAGTGCATTTTGGATGTGGTTTCTCCTGAATCAACGTGGTTTACTAAAAAACCTGTGTGTAAATATACATGAGACTCTGTGAAGCCATCTGCTGCTTTGTGCTTTGCTGTGCCTCCCCTCGCTGACACGAGGCGAGCCGTCCAGGGCTCCTGTCCGTGTCCTGATGCTGAATTAGTTTTTTCTGCTGATGTACAAGGTTTTAATGGGGCAGCCCAGACTTTCATCGTGATTAGTATTTTGTTTTAATCACTTTTCCCCGCAGTTCTTGTTTGACTCTGCCAGAATGCAGATGGTGTTTTGTAAGGGGGTCAGGTGCAGGCGCCTGTGTTTATCCTACTTGCATCGAAATCAACTTTTAAGCAGGTTTGCAGCTCTGCAGCTCACGGGCGCAGCTGTCCCGGTACAGCGGCCTGGCGGTGGGAAGTGTGTGCCGGGGCTGGCCCGGCTCAGGTGCGGGGCCGTGCGGTGCTCCCGGCGCCGGCAGCTCGGGTAGCGCCGGAGAGGCACCAGGCCGGGGCTTGGGGCTGAAAGCAGCGGCGGGAGCAGGCAGCAGGGCCTGGGGTGTGCGGGGCCGTGCGGGGCCGGGCTGGGTGTGCGGGGTGTGCGGTACCGTGCTGGGTGTGCAGGATGTTGGGCCGTGTGGTGCCGTGCGGGATGTACGGGCTGTGCGGGGCCGTGCGGGGCCGTGCGGGGCCGTGTGGGATGTACGGGGTGTGCCGTGCGGTGCGGGCTGTGCGGTGCCGTGCTGGGTGTGCGGTGCCGTGCTGGGTGTGTGGGATGTGCAGTGCCATGCGGGATGTGCGGGCTTTGGGGCTGTGCGGTGCCGTGCGGGGCCGTGCGGGCTGTGCGGTGCCGTGCGGTTCCGTGCCGTGCGGTGCGGACTGTGCGGTGCCGTGCCGTGCGGGCTGTGCGGTGCCGTGCTGGGTGTGCGGGCTGTGCGGTGCCGTGCGGTGCCGTGCGGTGCCGGGCTGTGCCGTGCCGTGCCGTGCGGGATGTGCGGTGCCGTGCGGTTCCATGCCGTGCGGTGCGGTGCGGGCCGTGCGGGGCCGTGCTGGGCT